GGCTACGGTTAATAGTTGGACAGTGGAGAGAGTGAAGGTTTAAGTTAAGGAGTATAATACAATAGACCCTCCCTTTTCTTATGGTGTGATTAAATACCGAGTTTGGTCTGTTGATAGCTATACGGTAGTCTCCGATCTACTTGTTCTATCTTCTTTATATATTTCAATAGATACCTGGCGCCTGGAAGCTAGAGATGAACCTGAAAAGAATCTTAACGATTTACTCACCAATAGCGATACACTGGACGCTGGTAGATACACCCGAGTATCATACCGCTCAATCCCATCCCATCTCATTTCTACCATAGAACCAGCAGTATACAAACTCACATCAACCAATCACTGACACCCACCAACTCAAACCATTCATTTCTCATACTATTGTTCCTATTCAAAGCTTCCGCTACATTACATACACAGACCGCAACTCCTCCATCCATCATCCATCCATAATTTTCGGTTTTTATCTTTTTTTTTTTTTTTGACCTTCAATTCCCGCCGTCCAAATACCTCGAATGGAACTCCACAATGTAGTGTCTCAAAAGACAGATAATACCGCCGAGGCGAGAAAGGGATAGAACATATTTCCACCGATGAGTGACAGCCGAATAGATAGATATCGACCGATGAAGTGATAGTGCCGAATAGACAGCTCCACGCCAGTAACACCGGCAAAGAGACAAATATCCACCCGCGCAACACCATCAAAGAGACACAAACCCCCCCGATAGGTCCGCATTACCAGCAGGTCCAAAACGCCTCTGACCACCCCACTACTCACTCTCCCCCATCTGACCAGCAAAAAGCACCTCCTCCCAAGCCCTAACCTCCTCACCCCCCTTCGCCCTCATAGTCTCAAAATAGGCCCTAACAACCTCCCCACCCACATCGCCCCACCTCCTAACCATATCCCTGCCACGGCACGAGAACGCGCTATCCTTGACACCCGCCAGCTCATCCGCAGGACAGACTTCCTTGAAGAGCTCCATGGCCTGGGCCCAGTGCATGCGTTTGTCGACGGTGACGCGGCGCGCGAGGACGTACAGGAGCCGGTAGTGGAAGGTGGCGCTGTCCCAGGTGCGGTGAGCCTTGAAGCTCGAGCGCGGGGGTGGGAGGTAAGGTGTGTAGGAGGTGGTTGGTGCTGGGACGTTGGGGGTGGTGGTGAGATTTGGGATGACAGCATGGCTTGGGGTGGCGGTGAGACTTGGGGTGGTGGAAAGCATTGCCGTGTCGCTCGGGGTTGCTGTGCGGCTTGGGGTGCCGGTGAAACCAAGGGTAACAGGGCCAGTTGGGATGGTAGTGAAAACCGGGGTAACAGGGCAAGTTGGAATAGCCGGACCGGTCGGAGGGTTAGAGATGAGAACATGGGAGAGTTGGGCGTTCTGGGCTTCTGAGATGCGAGCGCTGTTGATTACCTGGTTGAAGACGTAAGCGGCGTCTGTAAAATGGGTTGTAAAAAATGTTGTCTCACTTACTTGACTACCATCAGCAGCGGAAAGAATATCAGGGCGTCCACTTCCGTCATTGTCCAAGGTGGAAGAGGACTCGTCCGTTACTGATGAATGAGCGCGCCTATGGATAGAGGCCTCGTTCTGGAAGCGTCCTGTGTTTTGACGTTCCGGAATGATGACTTGCTCCTGTGGTGTTACAGGAGCAACTCTAATGTTATTCAGGAACGCATTTTGGAGCCTGGTCAACGGGGGAGTCACACGGTGTCTCTCCACCATCAGCTTATCTTGGTGGAGCATCTGCACCATGTCTTGAAAACTGGGCGGCAGGTTATTCTTACGTTCCGCAAGTTCGAAAGTCGGTTTCTGGACGTCAGCCATAGGATGATCATCGTAAGCCACTCCTGTCGCGTGCTTTAGCTTCGGGGTTTCAGGAAGGAAAGGATCTCTGAATGGACCAAAGATGGATCGATAGACCTCCGGCGCGCTATCTTGAAGACCACTCAGCGCACGGTCTTCGGTAGGTTCGCGTTTCAACTGCGGAGGGGATTCATCCATGCCAGACATAAGATGATCATCGCCGTCCACAGCGCTTGAACGGAGAGCAGGGTCTATTTAATGTATTAGGGATGACATATCCAGTAGGTGGAATAAACTTGTACGTACCGTCATCTACGGGTTCTTGTTTGGACTCTGCATCTAGTTTCGCATCTATGGCTAAAGCTTCCTCCAACCATCGATTCGCATCGATAGGAGATCTTGGTGTTTTAGGCGCGTCATCGACAAGGCGCTGCAAGTCAATCGCCGAAAGTAACAGAGATGGTAAGTCATTCCTCTCGTCAGGATGCTCATCCAGATACAGCCCCATACCTCGAAGGGAGTCGATGTGGTCAATTTGCAATTTAGCAACGGTTGATGATGTTATCGGACCTGGTGGTGTAAACAATCCCCAAGGAAATTCCGAATTCATGGTGTTGTTGGTCATGCGATGTACCAGATGGATGTGTAGTTTGCAAGTTTGGTTTGTGGACAGAAATTTATTCGAAGAAAAGATGTTTGAAAGCAGTCATAAGCGGTGACTGTTTTGTTTACTCACAAAACGTTGTTGAACGTGGCGTGCCTGTCTATGGAAGGCGATGAGTTGTTACAAGGCAATCGACATAGTTTCTTCACAAAAAGTGATTGGAGGTGGGAAACACGTCATTTGTCGCGTTCAAATGAAGATGTGAATCACTTTGATGTTGAAAAAGGGTATCATGTGATGTTGTTCCCTATCTACCGTATTTACGTGATGTAACGTGATTTCTTTAAGATGAAGTGCTTAAGCGTGCGATTTGTTCTGAAACTCCAGTGCTGCCACTCCTTTGTCGCCCTGAAGGCGAACTACCGGTGGGTGATCCGATCTGTTCTTCGATGGATTTCTTCAACCCAAGTTCACTGGTAATACCCATTTCCGAAAGACCACCTGTAGATGGTGATATTTCTGGCCGCGTACTTGTGATGGGTTCAATCTCATCGGCATCTTGGTCAACCTCGTCTTTCGTCTGTTTGGTACTAATCGTTGGTTGGGATATTTGCTCGATAGAAGGGCTTAGCCCACGATGGCCGTCAACTCGGGTGGGTGAAGCAGTGAGAAAATCTGCAATCTCCGCTTCCGATGTCCCTTTATGCCCTTCGTCGCTATTTTGTGCAGGCCATTTGCCTATCTTCGGGGGAATGGGAAGGTATTTAGAAAGAGGGCCTCGGTCATCCTCCTCAGTATCCTCATCACTAGTTCCTTCAAAGTAATCATCATCCCAAACTGAGCTGTCCTCCCTGCGTAAACTGTGTCGCGCCGAACCACTACCTGTCTCTTCCCTAGAATTTCGCAATGGGGCGAGTTCGTCTGCCAACTCCCGCATCTCGCTATCTGTCCGCTTGGGTGAATTGCGCTCGGTTTGACCTTCGACCTTCTCACCACCCTTCCCGACACCTGCTTCGACTCCTTTGACCCTATCCATGGACGGTTCCAGTTCATCTCGTGTCCGAGCAGCGTAAGTGTCCGCAAAATGCGTATCACAAAGATGTTTGACGACCGGCCATCCATATGCATTGGCAAACATACGTCTGACGATCAAATTATTATGTGCATCCGGTTCCAGACGGACAAGGACCTTGCGCCATGAGAGATCTTTGTGGTAAGCACGAGCGATTTTTTCCTCTACTCTCATACCTCCACTGTCGCCATTTCCAACAGAGTCTTCCGAATGTGCTGAACTCGTAGAAGTACTCACGTCACTGGAGAAAGACCGACCAAGTCGAGATGGTCGCTTAGCTGGCGGCGGGGGAATATCTTCAGGATGATATACCCTGTCGTGGAAAATGGTTCGTGGACGTTTTGAGGGATCGATGATGAAGTTCATGTCAGGAATTGGAGGGTTGAGTAAATCTGCGGCTGATTCGAAGAAATTTGTCCTGGGGGGAGCATGAGGATTCGAAGGGTCCCCTAGAACAGAATCCCCTCGCGTGGCTCGTGGGCGTTTCGCTGAGTCGGGCGAAGATAGGTGTGGTGACTGGCTGTCATTAGAGGTAGCGTCATCTGTGGAAGATTTTATAGTTTGACTCCTCCTATACATTTTACTGTCCTTACTGGAGATAGCACTCCCAGGCCTGAAGAAATTGAAGAAGCCGTCTAGTGTACTTGTGCTTTCAGTCTTCTGAGAAAGTAGGGTACCATCACCTTGTTGTCTGAGAAATTGATGCTCCGAAGGTCCTGCGGCGATCTGTGACTCATCATCAGCAATCGAAGCGTCATCGGATGGCTGAGGGACGGTTGTATCGTGTTCTGTTAACGTAGGTGTTGTAGTGCCATCACTACTAACTCTACTTTCATTGTCCGCAACACTTAGACTTAATCTAGATGGGTTTGGC